ACGAAGATTTTACCTTTAGGTAGGTTTTCAAAGAGAAGATGACATATAAGCAAAAGAGTTATTGAAATCCAAGTTAACAAAAACGGGTTGAAAACAAAAGCTTCTAGTTTGCGCTGAAAACATAATTGGAAAGAAGATGCTAATAATAAGGAACTAATGTGTATGAGTTCTTGAGATCATTTACACTTCGCACTAAAAAGTGAAAGGAGAAGGTACAGTCGGATCAATCACTATTAACCCGAAGGCGGCATGTAGTAAGTAGACCTCCTTGCGTAGTAGGCGAGTAAAGCAAGAATTTTGCAAAAAACAGACTGCACAGAATTCATACGAAAATTTGTCAATCAGGTTTTTCCTTCACAGAAGTAGGCAATAAAGTTGAAATAATGCTTGATGAACTTCAATGTGATAACTCTAGGCTCAAGGAATGTAAGGTTCTTCTGAGTCGTTAGCTTCCGCTTCAACCTTGAACAGTTCCACTATATGGACCTTCAATTCCAGTGCATTCAGATGTTTCCCATGATGAAAGGTCGCAAATAATTTTCCTCGGAACGTGACAAAATAAATAAATATCGATAGTTTTGTTATGTCGCTAAAAAATTGAAAAACTGGCCAAAACCCTGAAAAATGCATTCACCGTTGTTATAATAACTATATACATACTGAATATCATTAATATCTTCACTCATTTTGAATAAATGGTCAAAAAATTTGGGTTTGTATCCAGACCGGACATCTCGAAGCTTAAGTCAACTAATATACTTTACTAAATTGTTGTAAGTAGAATTATATATTCGAATTGGGGTGTGCGATAGACTTACCTCCACGTGGTGCACCCTGGGCAACGTATACTCATACGGCAAAAAAGTCTATTATTCGGCAGTTGACTTCTGACTTTAAACTACCATCACCCCACTGAATGCCATATTCTACCACTTCCACAGTACTCACCTCAAATTTTTACCTTTTTTTACCTTCATCTATGAAACACCAATCTGTTCCCCCCACCCCTCTCGACTTTTATTTAATTTTTATGTTCCTTCCCCTCTTTTTTAAGTCTGAAGTCGGCTAAAGGGCCAATGATAACTATCAAAACGCCTGCCATTTGATATAAGTAAATAAATTTAAATTAAGCAAAAAGTATTATTTCTATGTGATATTGATGCCCGAAAGGGAAGCTTTTGATTGAAATTATATAGACCTAACTAACCCGTTTTATAGCCTCGAAGTTGCTTGTAAAAATTAAAGCGTTAGGTTAATAAAAATTTCAAATTTAACAAATANGCATCAAACCTCTCTCCTCACCGTTCTTTTTTCTCTCCAACGCAATTTTAAAACAGGACAATTACTGTGAGGTGGAAATGATAATGGACATTTGTTAAAGATGATAAATTTTACTATTTCGAAATTACTGCATACTTGGGCTGCTATCTATAATGCCGTTTTGAATATTTATAGATAGACTTACCTCCACGTGGTGCACACTGGGCAACGTATACTCATACGGCAAAAAGTCTATTAACCGGCAGTTTACTTCCCACTTCTAACTACCATGACCCCATTGTATGTCATATTCGACTATCTCCACAGTACTAACCTCACCTTTCATCTACCTTTGTGTTTGTCTCTTACATCTGTGAATCACTCTTCTGTTCCCCTCTCGACTTTTTTCACTTTGATGTTCCTTCCTCTCTGTGAAGCCTGAAGTCAACTAAAGGACTAATGATAACCATCAAGACGCCTGCCATTTGATATAAATAAATATTTATACTTGCTCAAAACATCCTTTAATGTCCGGAACTTTCAGCCATCCGAAAGGAACTAAGAAATAATGGTTAAGTGGTAATTAATTATGAGATTTTTCCGACATTAAAAACTTAAAATGTTAATATTTTTATTTGTAATTGATTATTACATTTTAAGGATAATTAACAAACGAATTATTCAAGACCTTGAATGAAATGTGGTGCCTGAAAGGGTGGAGAAGAGATTTGTGCTCATCCATTTAACTGTAAAAATCACTTTCAGTAGGTCTGTGAAATTGTTCGAGTATTAGTATATGGATTTTTAACAAATTTGAGCAGAGTTCAGTGGTTTCGAACAAGTTTACCAAGTGATCGATTATTAGATCTTCACGCTCGTGATTTTAACTCCATTACTCCCTTTCTTATTGGACACAAGAGGGAAATAGTACTCTACATCCACGCAGTGACTTATTTTTTCCAAAATATTGTTCATCGATTGAGCAACAGAACTTCACGCGTCTTTTTGCTATAATATTTTATGGTGGACTGCCAAGATTATGCAAGCGGCTAATGGTATGTCCATTTACTGATAGATCCTATCAAGATTGCTCATTAAACCTAAGGATGAGTAGCTTTTAGGTTTCAGTACATTAATTGGTGTTGTCTGTGAAAGTCCACCTATTTCTCCTTCGATATTATCATTCTTAGATTTGTCTCTTTATTTGATTTAAATGTCATTCTCATTAAGGCCTTGTCGGGTCATCATAGCGGTAATTTTAAAGGCATTCTAATTTTTAAGGCATACCTTTTTGAAGGCAGGTTCTCAATCCAAGTAATTTCTTAAAATTTCGCCATCAGCACCCACCAAAACGCAGAAGTGCATGCATTTATTTTATTTTCAATTTCGTTCACTGGGACTAAAACACTTCTCTTTTATTGGCCAATTAAAGTTACTATTTGTACCTCTAAATGTTGTTTCACGAAAAGGCTGATCATTATGTGCGACAAAAGTACATGTTCTACTCTAATTTAAAATAAAGAGATGAGTGAATTTTACGGGTTTTTTGGACATTTTATTAAAATGATTTTTTTGCATAGGTAAAAAAGTATTGGTCAAAGCTTCAAGTAATAAGAGGGTTATTTAATGAAATTCTTAAAAATATTGTTGGATTATAAAATGATAGGCTTCATTTAAGGATATGGCTACTATCTATTTCATTCTACTAATTTGCATTTAAACACAATGCGTTGGAAAATCAATTTTCAGTTAAATATATGAGAAGACTTAATAAACATCCTCTCCAATTTTTAATGTCACTCAATTTGGATGTATGGATTGAAAAGAAATTTCGTGTGCGACAGTTCTTGACCAATTTCAAAGAAGGCTAAGCTTCAGTTAAATGATCTACACGTTCCAAGAAATGCAATTTTTTGAGAGTTTGGGGTACATCAAACGTAGCTGAGTTTGTATATATCTTCACTTTAAACACTGATCCAAACTTTATATTGACGAAACTCTACAACTTTAAATTGACGAGAGATGCTTTATTTAAACTGTCTTTATATAAAATATTTATTCTGAATGCCGCACCAAATTTTTTTTCCCATTCCCCTACCCACATCAATAATATTATAAGTTTTGGCCATTCAAATGACACTGGCCACAACATGTATGCCAGTTGCATTGTCACAAGAAGATTCAATTAATCGCTTTATAGAAAATTCCGACCAGCAAGTAGCCAGTAAATAAGGACAAAAACTGTCAAATTAATGCAATGTCTCACATGTAATGATAAAAATAGTTTAAAATAATTTATATTTATAATAATTTAATAATAAAATTTCAAGTCACAGACAAGAAAAATGCGAAGACGTTTTGCTATGTTATGCAGGAAGATATTTGAAATGCTCCAGACCCTACAAGCTTTTGTCCAACGTGGATTTTGGTGTTTTTCTCTGTCGTCAGAAGAGCATTCCTTTACACCTAGACTTTTTGTTTCGATCGGTTCACACCTTAAGTTAATAAACACAGCTTGCCTTATATTTGAGTTGTTTTATTCTCTCTCTCTCTTTATATATATATATATATATATATATATATATATATATATATATATATATNTGAATAAATGGTCAAAAAATTTGGGTTTGTATCCAGACCGGACATCTCGAAGCTTAAGTCAACTAATATACTTTACTAAATTGTTGTAAGTAGAATTATATATTCGAATTGGGGTGTGCGATAGACTTACCTCCACGTGGTGCACCCTGGGCAACGTATACTCATACGGCAAAAAAGTCTATTATTCGGCAGTTGACTTCTGACTTTAAACTACCATCACCCCACTGAATGCCATATTCTACCACTTCCACAGTACTCACCTCAAATTTTTACCTTTTTTTACCTTCATCTATGAAACACCAATCTGTTCCCCCCACCCCTCTCGACTTTTATTTAATTTTTATGTTCCTTCCCCTCTTTTTTAAGTCTGAAGTCGGCTAAAGGGCCAATGATAACTATCAAAACGCCTGCCATTTGATATAAGTAAATAAATTTAAATTAAGCAAAAAGTATTATTTCTATGTGATATTGATGCCCGAAAGGGAAGCTTTTGATTGAAATTATATAGACCTAACTAACCCGTTTTATAGCCTCGAAGTTGCTTGTAAAAATTAAAGCGTTAGGTTAATAAAAATTTCAAATTTAACAAATAACCAAGTTACGCTGATGCAATGTGACAGAACATGCAAAACAATTATCCCATTTTTAAGCATTAGTAGACTGAAGATAGGAAGATATAGTATTAATTGATTCCCTTAATCGATAGATGGGTTAAGATTAATCCATGATGATTTTAAGATACAATGAGTTTAAAAAACATAGGCGGGAAACGTCCAATTTCTCAATTGTTAACGGACTGCCATTATGATTGAGCTGAATAGATCTCAAATAAGTAAACTTATTTTGGTTCTTCAGTTTGTGTAAAACTGCACATATTTCAATAACCACAAGAAACTGGTTTCAACTGATTGTATTCCACTTTTTCGGATCGCTAAATAGAAATTATGTTAAAAATATAATCACAAAACGTAGACTTGAAATCAAACAAAGTCAGCACAATTATTGAAAATTATTACTTTAAAAACAAAATATACTTTATCAGAAAAAATTAAATCTTTTACTAAGTTTCCGGAAGGTTAGATTGTGGACTTAAATAGACTGGTGTAAATGCGCCGTTTTTGGTTCAGAACGATTAAATGTCTTCAGGGTTTTATCATTTGTATTTTATTAAAGACTTTCTGACCCCCCTACAAAACGCTGCATTTGATGCAGTATCTAGTTACGAAAATCTTGAGCCTTTATGGATAGCTGGAACAGATGCCGTTGATAAATTTAAAAATTCGTCTCCTAAAAGCTGTTGTTTCGTTTTCGGTAAATTCACCGGACCAAGCTATGAACACTTTAAAGCTCTTGGTTCTGCAGTATTTGGGCCACAGGCGTTACTTGATTATTTACGTGAAGAGAAACCTCTTCCTAATGTTTCCTTCCCATTGTTCTCTACTGCGTTAAGAAATGCTAATGTAACAGTAACATCAGTCGCCGGTCAACTTAGGGAGTATTTGTTTTCTTCTATTGAAATGCTCCACGGGATTGCATCTAGAAATTTAACAGACGATGTAAATGTCATAATCTCCCCCAAAGTTGGCTCTAAAAAATATATCGTTGGTGCCAAACGTGGAATTGCTATCGTTACCCCAGAATGGATTGACGAAGCATGGAAATCGTCAGAAGCCTTAGATCCTATTGACATGATGGCTTCTAACTTTTTGGAGAAGTACAAACTCCCAATGTTCAATCAACTAGTTGTTTGTGTATCCGGTCTCACTTTAGATGAACGAAAAGAGGTCGCTAAAATAGTCTCAGTGAACGGTGGGCAATATTCAGGTGAAATGAAGATTGGTTTTACAACGCATTTAATTGTTAAAAAGGCAGGAGGTGTCAAATACAACTTTGCCAAAAAGTGGAAGGTTCAAATTGTCAATGATCGTTGGTTAACAGATTCAGTAAATGCTGGTTATGCTCTTGAATGTTCAGAATACGAAGTCCAGGATAGTCCCCACCAAACTGGAGTACACAAACACTCGACTCCCACTTCCTCAATGCTTCACGATCCAAGCTTTCTTCGCGACGTTTCGGCTATTACTGACTCAAAAACCTGCGACGAAACACGGTTTAGTTGCCTCAAAGATATTACTAACAGTACTCATTCTAGATTTCTACCTGAACAGCTTTATCTCTGTGGTTGTGTTATCCTACTTTATGGCTGTGATGCCGCCGAGTCGTCGAGACTTTCTTCCATCATCATGGCTGCTGGCGGTGTATCTTGCGTTGATGCTTCAGACAAAGTTACTGAGTCATTTACTCATGTTGTGCTAGGATCAAGTTGCAAAAAAATCCCCCCATCAGATCTTGAACAAAATGTGCATTATGTGATATCCGAGTGGCTGGATAAATGTCGTGAACATCGTAAACGTCTACCAGAAGATGATTTTAAGCCTGAGTTTCTAAATAAAACTGAAACGCCTGGACAAAATCAAGTAAACCAAGGTAATTCAGAAACACGAGTGGATGAGGAAGATATTCGACTGATAAATGAGTATTTCAAAGATGGAAATATGGCTGATTTGGACGATTTCCTGACTCTAGATAATGATAATAATGGCAACCCTGAGGAGCAAACTGTTCAAGAAGGGGAAGAGAAAACTGAACGACAACAAACAGTAGTAGATGAGGTGAACGATGTTCATTCCCAAGAACTAGATATTCCAGATGAAATTGCTATTTCTCGAGAGGGACTGTTTTCAAATCTTTTATTTAGACCGGATGTAACATTTTCTATTACGGCTAATCCTGCACTTTGTTCTGCTATAACAGACGAAGGAGGAGCTGTTATTAATGACTCTTCAGTAGGGGCAGATTATACTATCTGTCCATATATTCTGCGTCAAGCTGTTACTCCTAATATGATCACACCCTATTGGATTCACTCTTGTCTTGCTGCTAAAACTCTCCTGATCTCTGAGTTAGATACGGAAGTTGGTTTCCATCCGGTGTATATCCCTGCCTCGGTGCCTAGCCTTCCACTAGAGGGTTGTGCGATCTCACTCAGTGGTTTTGTTAGTAATGATCGATTGTTTCTCACTGATCTCGCCAAGGGATTAGGAGCTACTGTACAAGAGTGTTTCCTTCGCAAGCCAATCCCATCTCGAAACCTGTTGGCTAGTACTCATCTTGTGAGTGCTCGGCCAGACGGTAGAAAATTTCCCGCCGCTCAATCCTGGGGTATCCCGGCTGTATCTTGTAGTTGGTTATTTGCCTGTGCTACAGCCGGAAAACGAGTACCGGAGTCCGAACATCCGGTGAAGGAAAATGATCCAATGGTTCCAAAGGATTGGACTAAAGTGGTTAATATCCAAAAGTCAGGGGTCTTCCAGACTCCTCATCAGACGCCAAAAATAAATGCTAATCGACAATCGATCGATGGTAAAATGCTAAAAACTCCTACTTGGGTGAAGGAAAACCAAGCGCAGACTCCTACTAGTGGACGCTTTGAGGGCATTCATGTTTCTCCACCAATGTCCGAGAAGGTTTCAAGGTGTTTAAAACAAGCGCTGCTGAAATCTACCATGTCTGGATCAGGTTTGGCGGGGAATAGCAAGTTTAAATATTTTATATGCTGATATTAGTCCCAGAAGCAGTCTAATTATCTTTGTTTTCTCTTTCAGACTTCAAATCTGTGGAGGATAACTCTCGGAATAGCACAGGAACTGCCGGGATACTGGACGGTGTAGTGATTTGCGTAGCTAGGTCATTGAGTGATCGTCAGATTACCCTGAATGATCTCGCAAAACAGTTAGGTGGGGATTTCAGGTGGAATTTCGATAAATTGGTAGGTATTGACTGTTATGCTTATTGTATTTTATGTATTTTGGTTTGGTTTGCCTGATGATCAAGTAAACTTCCAGTTTATATATTCACTGGGGATTTAGTTGACTGCCATAATGACGAGTACTGTTATCTTTTTTATGTATTTTAACGTATGCCTTCGTTCTTTACGTGATGTTTTTTCTTGAATATGAGTTAAAAATGTTTGTTTTGTTTAATTAGTAATTGTAAAATTTTTACTGCGGTTTAAAGGTATATGAACACAAGTTCGGTGTGAAATTTAGACTAAATACTGTAATCGCTTCATTCAGTCAATAAAAAAATTGAAAGTTGGTTTGGAAGTAGGTTATCAGGTATAGGTCTTGGTTAACCTTGGCTATTTGTTTCCTATTTTCCTCTTCCCTTTGTTCTATCTCGTGCATGGTTTATTGTGCGGTGCTAGTTTAAGATTGGTATACGATGGAGATGTGCTAATTGGTGAGGTTGTACATTTATTATACGTAGTGAAATCTGAAGTAGATTCCAATTTTGTAAGATAAATCATTTATTTTATTTTTTTATATCAAATGGCAGGCGTTCTGATAGTTATCATTAGCCCTTTAGTTGACTTCAGGCTT